GAGCTTTTTATAGCATGTTTGGTGCTTTTCGGTCGTGAGCCAATGAGCGTGTATTCCTGACGAATTAAAAAAGCTAAGATGTCACAAAGCGGGGTTTAAAAAGCTGCGCGTTACATTTTGTTACAATTGGACTTTGTCTGCCAAGTAAACAAAGACGTATAAATGGGAAATGAACAAAATGTAACGAAGTAATGGAAAAGGACCAGCGGCAAAATTTTAAATCAAATGAAAGACAATTACTTTGAAGCTATACAATATGCGTCTCCCAGACAACAATTTTTATTCTCTCCAGCTAAGTGTTAAGTGATAACAGAAAGGTTTAATTTGTTAAGATTGTGCAAATTCATTCTTTTTTCATAAAAAATACATTTTAGTTTTGCAGATATAATACTGATAAGTGTGGCCACTATTTGCCCATGTGAATTGTTAATGCGGTGAAGCAGTAAAGTTTTCGAAATGTTGTCGGAAAATAGTGAAAACGCGGATATGACAAGAAATAAAGAAATCGATTAATTTTTTTAGCAAAATATTTTTGAGCATAACAAACTTACTATGGCTTAGTTCACACTAGCCATCAGTTTCATATGTTTTATAATTATACATTCATACATATCATATATGGCGTTTTCCTCGCTATTTTTATTTTTTGCTTCCACACTAGTAAAACTGTGATGTTTTCAATAAAAAGCAAGACTAGTATTATCTTTGCGTGAAAAATACGGTGTTTAAAGTAAACTGATTATTAAACGAGGTCATCAATGACATATTGAATACTCAATCTTCATATTATAAATTCGTTTGAATAATTGCTTATGCCTTTCGTATTTTCCACAGATGTCTCATAAGTTGCTCTTTTAAGACCAAAAATGGCATTCACATACCTCCCCAAGAACTTGTTGACACTTTTTGGATTGTCATCGTACTGGTCCACCTGTCATGTTATTCCCCAGAATTTGGATAATAAACGCTCAAGAAGTAGTTTGAAATAGAGTACACAGATTTCACTACAAACCAATATTGCTGGGCAAATATTGGGAAATTTGCCAGTTGATTGTCTTTGAGCTCAGCGTCTATTTACAAGACTGGAGTTGACTCTTTTGACTCTTTCATGACGACATATAGAATTCAGTTCCAAAGCTAACCTTTTGGAACTCGTGTCAGATTTGTCAAACAATAACATAGTATTGTGTCTCACAGTACTTGTGAGTAGACACAGAGTTAGTAAACTTTCATCCATATGTCCCTATGTCAGAAGGTTCCAACGACGGTGAGGCCCTGCCGTCAATACAGTGGTACATGGTAAAATACATGTTAACATATATAGATCGTCCTGTTTCATTTCCATGTTGTTGCGTTTTGTTTTTTTTTTTTTTTACTATTTTATTATTTAATAGCTTCTTTCTATAACAGCATATAACTGACCTTAATAATATTTATTGTGTATTTTAAACTGGCCAATAACCTAAATAAAGAAACAGCTAGATTGGTTTCACAATTCCATAGGTTATTGGTTGAGGTAATTTATTGCTTACTTTACATTTTATGCTAGTTTTAATACATAAATACCAAGCAAAAACAAAAAGAAATTTTAAGTCTATCAAGATTACACATTTCAAGTGTTGTATACATCTAATTTTTTAAAATATAACCAGTGATAAGGAATTTGTGGTAACGAATTTGAAACACTTATTTCTGTGAAAGAAAGAGAACTAGTTCCACGTAATTAACAGCAAAAATCAAGAGCCAGAAATCATCTGAAGAAGGAAAAAAGTTCCTGCATCGTAAATAAAGAACCAGAATCATATGGAGCACTCAACATTTAGAATTTGTGAGGAATGTTACCAGCGTAACACAGACATACATTTAGCTTGGACCCACCTACGATAATAGAGCAACAGCAACCAGCTATTGCCGAGTTGAGGCAGGCGACAGTGGCTGCAACTGAGAAATTGTAGTCACAGGTGGAAGACATATACAGCAAAATATCGACGCTAACACAGGTCTATCGTACATCGTCTCAACAAAGATCTGGCAGGAACATGGCAAATCAAGTGAATCTGTCAAAAATTACATTCCCTCAATTTGGTGGGGATTATTCGAATCGTTTGCTGACATTTCTGGGAAAATGATCAACAAGCAGGTCTTCCCGATAGTGCAAAATATGTGGTATCTCAAGACCAACGTCACTGGTTGAGCGGAGAAACTCATACGGAACCTTGAGTTGACTAATGCGAATTAAGACTTTGGGACTCTTAATCCACATCTTAATAAAGATGATGGAGAAATCTGTTCATGTGTTTAGTGAGCTGTCAATTGTGGATTCCAAAGAGCTCCAACGATGGAGCATTTCATGAAATGTTTGAGGGGTCGCTTTGATTCATTAGATTCAGTCAATGGGATTCAGAAGATTAGACCAGCAGCATGTGCAAAGGTTTTTGCAAGCAGTTTTTTTTTGACAATGACAGCGCCCGAATGATAGAAGTAGGTTGACCATCAGGCATGTACAAATGAGACGAGTAGAAGTGCCAACAAAAAGACAATATACTTTTGGCCTTTTTCACAATGCCACAAGAAGAAAACCAGTTAGCAATTATGTCAGAAGTCGCCAACATCGGCAAATAGAGCCCCATCATAAGTATTCCTTGCAACCAATATTGCAGCCTACAGATTCTTTGCGGCGGCGTAGCTTATCTAAGGATGTAAGTCTTCGCGAGCAGAGTATGAGGATCTGTTATGTTTGCCGAAATTATTACTGTATTTAAGGTTTCAACGAATGTAAAAAGTAATTTTGTATTTAAATGATAACATAGAATATAACGGTATATTGATGTTACAATATATAACATAGCAAAGTGTATGGGAATTCATATCACTCTTCAACATTCCATGACGCCTATGCTGTGGGAAAGCTTAAATATATTCACTCAATTCTCTCAAAATCCAAAATATTGAATATTTGTATGATTTATTATTTATCAACAGAAAACAAGGTAGTAACATTGTTTAGATTTACATTATCCAATTACATCGTGAAATATAAAAATATACAACTTCAAGAGCAGAAAAATTAATAAATTGCTTTCGAAGTCGAGTGACTTTAGTAGCCCTGAGTGACGGGAGGTGTAAACATTACAACTTTTTAGTCTATACCTTCAATTGTCTATGCCCCGATATCACCAGCCCAATCAGCGCCAGAAAAACCATCCACATATTCTTTATTAGATTTTTCAAATTGAAGCTTAAATCCAATAGTGCCTTTGAGATATCTCTTAATTTATTTGACAGCATCCCAATATATTTTCCTGGGTTATTGTTGTATATGGACAAAACACTAACTGCATACGAAATATCTGGACGACTGACTTGTGCTGCATAAGTAAGTTTCCAATGGCTTTTTGGTACAGAACTTTTCTCGTTTCCTTTACATCAACACATCTGTTTTGACAATTTCTGGTGTCGAAACGGTGTTGCAGTTATTCATGTTGAACTTCTGTAATGTATTACGAATGTAGAGTTCCTGATCCAACCATAGTTTACCATTGTAACGATCTCAAGTTAGTCTCATTCCCAAGATATAATGAGCTTTATCTACATCCTTCATCTTGAAAGTTGTTGAGATGCTTTTCTTAATAAAAAGTTTCGATTTTTCATTATTTGTATATATCAAGATATCATCTACGTATATTGTCACGTAGGTAATTTCTTCTTCGTTTAGCTTTTGAAAAACACACTTTGAAAGAAAGCAGTCGCTACGTCCATTTGGTCAATATCTAAATCACGCTGAAATGCAAAGCTTTGTAACAATCGTATGTATTAATATCTGACAACCAGTGAAAAGGTAAGAATATCCTTTGAGTCTGGCTTGAATCTCCAGATATCATCTTTTGAAAACCAACAAATGGTAAGCAGTCTGTTTCTTCAGAGTAGTGCTCAGAATCATCTTCTTGTGAATCACTGCTTCAACTTCGGAGTTTGGCAGGATTTCTTCAGCATCTCCGTTATCCGTATCTATTCTCCCCACTGAATCATATCTCCTGTAAATCATCTACATCTTGCTACTGAATTCGCTCTCCAAAAATTTCACGTATCTACTTAACTATACCTGATTTCGAATTGGGTTGTAAAATCTAGACGTTTGGAAATTATTTTCATCACACAAAAACTTTGGAAAAAATGTTTTGCTAAAATGAATAAGAACAAGTTAAAATGCAGTAAATTCGGCCGGGCCGAACTTTAAATACCCTCCACCATTTAGAAGGAATTTGGAAATTTAAAAAAAAAAAAATAAAATCCGTTAAAAATTCTGTTAAAATCTTAAAAATACCGAATATAGCCGTTATATTGGGGTCTCTACGATGTGAACCAACATAGGCTTTGTTTGTCATAAGCCATTACCATATTCAAAATTGAAACTTGAAATAAACGTTGAATAATGTAGCTAAAATAATCAAAATACCGAATATCGGGAGGTACCGTTATATGGGGGCTATATGAAGACGTAGACCTGCAGAGACAATTTTCTATCACAGGCCGTAGTATCCATTACAAACTCCAAATACCAAATTTGAAACAGTACCGGTGAATAATGTCGCTAAAATCATCAAAATATCGAATATCCGGAGGTGACGTTATATGGGGGCTATATGAAAACGTTTATGAACTTAACTTGGGAAAATAAACAAGGGTGCCTTCTATCTCAATTCGTTCGAAAGATAGCGTGATTACAACAGACAGACAGACAGATGCAAAAAAGCTATATCGAATTAGAATTTTACCCTGATCAAGAATATATATACTTTGTTTGGTCTGACATGAGTATTTCGAGGAGTTTCAAACGGAATGACGAAGTTAATATACCCTCAATAATATGGTAGAGAGTATAAAAACACACTTGGCTTGCTCTATTTATTTAACATACGCACTATCGAAATCCAACTTAAATCATCACACCACTTATTATAATTAATCTATTTTTAACCGTAAAATTTTATTTTTTATAGGTATCTCCTAGCGACCAGTTACCTAATTTGGTATGTTGCAACTGTAGGTCAAACTTACAAACACTATGGAAATTCAAAATGATGGCTCAGGAAGCAAATTCTGTTTTACGCAATTTCTTGACCTACTGCAAGTCGTCTAATAAGGTAAGTCTACCACGTGAATTGAAATTCAGCAATGTAAAACACATTCTCGCAAAATATTTGATATACCTCCGGCGTTTTTTGTAAAGATAATTGGGAACGTATTAGATACGTTTGACTGGAGCGAGGAGTTTTTTGGTCCTTTTTCAAATATGGTTAAAAATTCCCTTTCAACTGGATCAAAGGAAAAATTAAAAATGAAAGAGAACGATACAAAGCTTAACTGAAGGTAAAGTACCGTTTTTCCAAAGAACACATAAGTGAAAAATGTGATTTGTGTAATGTATTTTGTGACGAAAATTAAGCAGTGTTATTTCAGGTGTATTTAAGTGTCTAATTTATATAAATTGGAATTTTTTCGCATTATATTTTAGCTTACAATGTCCCAAAATTGAATAATGTAAAAAAATCGTTATAAACCATTTGAGAAATTAGAATATTTTAAAGTGTGTATGTAATATGTGACATATTGTATAAACATTTTATGTTAAGAAGCAAAAATTGTCGACCCAGCGTAACAATGGGCTAAACGCACTGAAGGTCGAAACAAAAAAAATCGATGGCTTGGGCAAACTGGACAAAGAGGAGTGAGGACAGAAGCACCTGAGGGATATCTCCTGTCAGTTGGGACAAAAATCCCGGGTTGGGTGCAAGCTCTGCGATGCGATTCTCCTGTTTAGAAGAAACAGAGCCTGTCTAACGGTGCCGTCGCAGATTCCCCAGAAAAAGTGGCCGCATGGCTAATCTCGCGTATATCGGTCTCTTGGAAGCTCAAAGTAATAATGGCGTACCAGACACCTCTCTTCACCTCACAATGAGATGTCCTCACCGATATAAGGTACAGCTTAACTACGATACTGCATTCCGTTTTGACACCAATGACCGTGAATTCCCGCGTAAACTTGGACAATGCGACTTAGTTTTCATGCTGTGGGAGGTAAATGTTCCTGTCCCGAAGGACTAGTAAATCGTGCGGTTGAATATCACGTTGCGGAAAATTCCACTTGTAATGATGGTAGAGGTTCCTTAAATGTTCTTGTTAGCAATGTAAAAAATTCTTCGCCTAAAACTTTTTACCGCAGCTTCCCAAAGTCCGCCCATATGTGGAGCTCCAGCTTGGTTAAGTTTACACGAGTGTTTTTGATAGGTAAATATAGGTCGGGACTTATCACGAAATTTATCTAATGCCTACTTAAACTCTCGTTCTATCTCCCGGGATGCACCAGCGAAGTTAGTGCCATTGTCTGAGAAGAATTTTTATAGAACTAATTTATTAAGATCAGAGAACTAAAGTTGAAATTTAGCTAATATTCCCCAACACATTTGGGGCTATCCTTTCATTTTTAAATGTTCAATAATTGTATTCCACCATGATTAGCAAAATTTGCTCCGACGTCATGCAAAAAACGGAAAACATGTGTCTTCTTCCAAGGTAAACCGTGGAAGGTGAATTGTAATTGGTTTGGACTCGAGTGTTGTATCCGGTATCACTGTCCCAGAAGGTTATTCATGCTTTTGTAATAAATATATTCGCAATGATTGAAAGAACTTGTCTCTTGTCTCTCAAAAGGGGTTTTGAGTTCGATGTCCATTTTCGTTTCGTTGAACTATCAGTTTTGAAAATATCGTGGTGGGGCAAGTAAAAACAATTTGAGTTGTTAGTACAACCTTCAAATGTTTCCATGTTCCCAAGGTTATATATTATAAAATTACTTTGTAATATTCTGCTTTCGCTTCGGACATTCGCCATAGCGATAACTCATTGTACAAAAACTGAGAAAGGGCGATAAAACGACTTGATTTAGTTTTAAAGGATGTATATAAATCATGTTAAAAGAAGTAAATCCAAGGTATATTTCCCATCAGCTCCTTTTTGTGAAAGAGCGGAAGATTTCCTCACATTCTTCATCCTCTTCCTATAAAATGGGGATTTTAGGAATATCTTCAATTTCCCAAAATCCTTGTACAATGCGAAACTCTCACCGAATTTGTTTGGCTACATCCGTAGATGCTCCCGCTAATATCTAACCAAAACCCGTTTCTTGATATCCGCTGATACAGAACTATTGGTAACTTCAGCATTTTCTAAATTCTAGCGGAGACAAATATATCACCCGAGGGTCTATTAATGCACGAATCTTATATGACGCTCCATTTTTGAAAACGTCTTGCTGTGGCAGGACTTTTCCTTTTTGAGACAGATGTACCAAAAGTACTTCCGTTCAAGAAAGAGGTGGACCCATTTTCAATCAAAAAAGACACTTGAGCAAGTTTTTGGGATTTATCGCCCCCGTTACATATATTTTGACTGTATATTTCTTTATATAAAAACAAATGATGTTTCGTCTTACATTTTGAACAACTGCTTCATGTCCTTGAGTCAGACAGTTTACAGTCTCGTATGACTATATTAAGTCTTCCTCTAAATTCCATATTTAAAAACTTCGGGATTGACTACGGATTTTAATGACCCGGGGACAGTTGAAGATTGGTTTTAATTACAACAACAATTCAGGTTTTAATTTTTATTTTTTTTTCAAGTACAAGAAAATCAAATTATTTTCTTCTTTCTACTTTCCTTTCAGGACTTGTTCTCACTGATGGTTTTCTCTAACTACATTGTCTACGAGAATGGCAAAAAACATCGGTTTAGCCGATCGACATCAAAAAGAGAAGGGAGAGTTAAAAATGGTTAAACAATTATCACAATGTGTAAGTGGTGGACGACATTCATGCCAATTACAATCAGTGTAAGGTTAGAGATAGGTTTTCAACGCTATGTTCAAGCATTAACACCATATATTGGTAAAACTATGTTGGATATACTTTTATAGTGGATAGCAATGAGGTGGAACAACTTTGTGGAATATTATAAATCAACTTAAAAACTCTGACAAGTAGTTATAAAGGCTATTAATGAGTGCAATGAATAATAATAATTACTTTTTCTGGTCGAATTATTTTTTGAATTTGTAAGGCAAACAAATTACCAGAGCTACTTTTGATTTTAGGCTTCTGCCTGTTAGTTCCACGATAAACTATTCCGAAAATGTATTCCAAGGTATTCCAGACAAGCACTTTCTTTTATATCTTGATCGCAAATTGGGGCAGAGAACCGAATTACCTTACTTTTCTCTGAGTTTGAAACAAGCCCACTAATTCGTATATTCGAAAATTGCTAACGCATCATGCCCAATTTGAGCTTTCAAAATGATTTCATGTGAATATGGATCAAATAGTCATATCGTCAGCGTACAGTACTTGCCATAAAATTTAAAATTTGACATTTATGTAAATTATATAAATAGTAAACAATAATGGATCTAAGACGCTGCCTTGAGGCACTCCACTATCATCGTATATCATTTTTAATTCATTTCTGCGAGTTACCAACCACACCACATTAAGGAAGTTTCATCAGAGGGATTTCGTCAAGGCTTTAGATATATCATAGAAGGCTCATCTACATTTACAAGGACTTCTTGTGTACCACTACCATTTCTGAATCCAAACTGAAACTTAATAAGTAAATTATGCTCTTCCCTATATTTTGTCAACTGTTTATGCAATATTTTTCTTCCAAAATCTTAGCCAATAACGATAATAAGACAATGGACACATAAAATAAAAATAAATTCGTAATATATTTGGATATGCAGATGTAGCAATAATTGTGTTGAATATCTTTTCCATCTTTGGTATAAAAACATCCTGACATACTTTTAACATGTTAGTGAACATTTTATCGTTGCATCATTTGCTTTTATTCGTTTCCTGTTTAGAAATTACATCATATATTTCGTCAGAATTAGTACTTCAAAAGTTAAATGTATGCTGACAAGGCATTAATGTTCTGAATATATTGAAGCCATCACCAGGAATGTGTTGATTTTGCCCTTTAAACTTCATGAGACGTCTACGAAATATCTATTAAAGTTTTCACAGGTTTCATGGTTTGATAACCAACAGAAACTCACTTAAAAATCTCCACCATTGCCTTGGATTTTTCTGATATTTCTATACCTCATTCCAGATAATTTGGCAAGAAATTTGTTAATATGCACTCTACAGCATCTACCATGATTTCGCATTTTAAAGTTAAAGAATATTTTGTCTATAGACTTGCCACTAGCCGGTCGATATTAAAGAATGAAAAGTTCTAAAATTATATTTGTATGTTATATAAATGTTCGCGAGTATTTTGCAAAAGCAAGTTATATATACAATGACGATATTTTTATGAGTAGTAGCACGATATTAAATTTCATTTTGGAAGTTAAAGAAATATGGCTATAGACTTACCACAAGCCGGCTGAGAAATTAAAGCATGACGAGTTCTAAAATTATATCAGAAAATTGGTGTGATAAAGAAGAATCTAAAAAGTTTACGTTAGATCCCCAATAATAATACTAAGTGAAATACAACGACTTTGCAATATATATTAAAAAATCTAGAAATATGTTTAAGTAGCTTTTACAGGTTTCTTTTTTATTTTAATATTATTTATTTTGATTATATATTATTGTCTCTATAAAGTGTTTGCTTTCACTTAGTATCAGTATTTTTTTTTTTTGGCAAATTTTCATATTGGCTTTTTTAAGACTCGTACAACAACAAGACAATTCAAAATTTCGAGACTTGACACTGCTTAAAGCTTTGGATATTCGTTTATATAATAATATGGAGTATTCATAAGGACCCACTAAACTATATACGGAAATTATGTTTTGTTTAGGGTGATGATGGCAAATGAGCAGCGACTGCACAAAAAGCAGTGCTTACACAGTGCAAGCATTGCTTATTGTCGTTGAGTTGTTCAACGGTTGTTGTCGTTGTAGCAGTGTTAACATGCTCCGTTGTTTGTGTTCTGATTAATCCAGCTCTTCCTCAATGTCCAGGTTTAGGAATTCTGCTACTTTTATGGGCTGTGGCCAGATATCCTCTTGACGGAGTTGGGTAGGTTTGGCTGGACAATTAAACAGATGCAGCGTATTGTGCGACG